TTTTTCCTTTTGTGTTCAACCGTAGAAATTAATTTGTTAATTGCTTATTGTACTAGTGTGGGCGGCTTGCACAACACCTATGGCTTGATTTGCATGTGTGAAAGGGCTTTTCATAATATTGATTTCTCTGCTTACTGTATAAATTCTGGCACTGCTTTCATATTTTATGAAACGTAGCTTAAATTTCAAAATGTTATCTTTAAATGTTCGAGGGATTTGTTCTCTCGACAAAAGGAAAGCATTATTTAATTGGCTTGTGAAAGAGAAATCTGATATCATCCTTTTACAAGAAACGCACAGTACTCCAGAAGTTGTTAACTTGTGGAAAGCTCAATGGAGGGGAGATATTTTCTTCAGTCATGGTTCAGAACACAGCAAGGCAGTTATGATTCTTTTCAAGGCAAATTTTGATTACTAAATCAAGGTCCTTCGAGAAGATGAGCAGGGGAGATTTGTTATTTTAAAGTGTCTTATTCAAAGAGAACTGTTTGTTTTGGTAAATATTTATGCACCTAATAAGACCAAAGACCAATGTGTTTTTTTTTAAGAAATCCAAAAGAAGCTCTATGATTTAGAATTAGTAGAAAATTGCAAAGTAATTATTGGAGGCGACTTCAATGTCATTCTTGATGCCAATTTGGATGGTTCCAGAGGCAAATCACAAATGAAAGAATCTTGCAAAAAGATTGAGGATCTGTGTTCGTCGTTTGATTTGATTGATATATGGAGAGTCAGAAATCCAGATGACAAAGCATTTTACGTGGAGACAAAAGAACCCAGTCATACAATGCTGTCTAGATTTCTGTCTAATTACCAGTAGTATTCAGGAAGATGTAGAGAATGTAGATATTATTCCGGCAATAAGAACCGATCACTCCGCTATTTCAATGCATATAAATGGGATTGAAGAAACAGGAAAGGGTCCATCTTTTTGGAAATTTAATTCCAGTCTTTAAGAAGATGAAGATTGCATTAAATTAGTAACTGATAGATATAGCATCTGGCTGGAAGAAGGAAAAGATATCCAAGATCCAAGGGTCATTTGGGACTTTATTAAGTACAAAATCCGCTATGAAACAATTTCCTATAGCAAACAGAAGGCTAAAAATCGAAGGGAGAAACTATCACTTTTGGAACAAAAATTAAAAAAAATGCACATTAAAATGCAATGAACAGCCTAACCCAGAAAACATGAGTGAACCTGAAATCCTGCAAACTGAATATGATAGACAATATGAATATATAGCTCAAGGGGAAATTATGCGATCAAGAATAAATTGGTATGAACACAGAAAATAGCAGTAAATTTTTTTGAATTTAGAAAATTATAAAAAGAAAAAAAGTAGTGTTAGAAAGTTAGAGGTCACAGACGATGAATGCATGACTGATCTGAAACAGATAATGACGGAGATCCAAAACTTTTATGGAAGTCTCTACGATACAGGTTTACGTGATTGTGATGGCGTATCAACTGACCTATTCCTTCACAATATTAATACTAAAATGTTGACGGACGAGTGGCGGGAGCTTTTGGACAGCAATATTACTACAAATGAATATTTCAAAGCTTTAAAATCTTTTCAGAAAAACAAAGCACAGGGAAACAATGGTTTGACTGTGGAATTTTACCTAGGCTTTTGGAATTTCATATGGAGGTCCCTTGTCAATGCCTTAAATTTTGCTCATGAACAGGGACAACTATCCAATTCACAGAAACAGGCTATGATTACTTTGATAGAAAAGAAAGACAAAGACAGAAGTTTTATAAAGAATTGGAGACCAATCTGTTTTATTAACGTCGGTGTTAAAATTGCATCCAAAGTAATTGCAAGAAGGCTACAACAATTTCTACCTTATTAGATCCACCCTAACCAGAATGGCTGTATTAAAGGGAGATCAATTATGGACGGAGTTTGAACGGTTGAAGATGTACTTGAATTTGCCCAATTTATACGTTGTTCTGGTATCCTTCTGGCTGTGGATTTTGAGAAAGCATTTGACTCTTTAAATCATACCTTCTTCCTCAAAGTCTTGAAAAACTATAATTTTGGAACATACTTTCTACAGTGGATCAAGATGTTTTATACTTATGTGTCCAGCTGTGTTCTAAACAATGGTATTGCTACTGATCTGTTCCCAGCCAGATGCAGAGTTAGGCAAGGTGACCCCTTGTCACCTTTACTATTCATCCTTGCTCTTGAAATGCTCACTTGTTGAATTCGTGAAGACAATCAAATTAAAGGTATATTGGTTAAGGAGGAAGAAATCAAACTAACCCTTTCTGCCAATGACATGACTTGTTTCCTTAGAGATACTACGTTATATCACCGTTTAGTGTCGACTCTGGAGTCGTTTTTGAGATTCTCCAACCTCCAAGTTAATAAAGATAAGACTGAAATTTTTGCAATTGGTAGCCATCGTCTTTATCAAAACAATTATGCTCATAAAGTACGCAGTTCAATAAAAATTCTAGGAATTGTTTTTGACTATAAAGTCTCATCCAGGATGAAAGCGAACTTTGGAGCAATTTTAAAGTCTATTAAAATACATGAAATATGTGGCAATGGAGAGGGCTTACACTTCTGGGAAGGTTACAGCTTGTTAAATCTTTTATTATACCTAAAATCTTGAGTAAAGAGTTGTTGATTACAGTCACAGATGAATTAATCAAAGAGGTCAATAGTCTGATGTACCGTTTTATTTGGAAAGGCAATGATAAAATTAAACGCACTGCTCTTATCAAAGATATTGAAGATGGAGGGCTTAAGATGTTGGATATTCAGTCAATGATCCTGGCACAGAGGGTGATGGTATTAAAAAGATTTACAAATAAGGATAATAACAGCTCTTGGAAAATAACATTAAATTACTTCCTTTCTCAGGTAGGGGGAGAATTTTTTCTTAAGTGTAATTTTGATACCAGACAGTTACCTATCTACCTTCTGACCTTTTATAAGGAGTGCCTGAACGCTTGGTCCAGGTTGAGGCGACTTTCGATTCTTTCGTACGAAGATGTAGTTCACCAGGTTATCTGGAACAATAAAAATATTACTGTCCAAAAGATCTCATTTTTTGAAAAACACTTGTTTTCTAAAGGAATTGTTACGATCGGTGATCTCATTTCTGACACTGGAATCTTCTTAAAGGGTGTTAAGGTGTTACATGCAATTTTATCTCCGCTACAATATTTTAAATTAATGAGCGTCGTGGATGCCATTCCTTGTGACTGGAGATGTATTATTAGACAAAGCGCTCAACATTCCCCCTCTCATACAGATGACATAATCTATTTGAATTTGGAAAATTCTGAGGTAATGTTAGCAAAAATCACATCCAAATCACTTTATAACGCGTTTAAAAGCAAAAAGCAAATCCCTCCAACTGCCCAAAAAAAGTTCAGGGAAAAATTTCCACAATTTCCGTTCGACTGGAAGATAATATACTCCTTGCCTTTTACCGTCACAATTGAAACTAAAATTAGAGAATTCCAATATAAAGTATTAAATAACATAGTATTTACGAACGAAAGATAGTTACTGTGGGGAAACAAGAGGTTGAATCCTTCGAACATATCTTTTTCTACTGCAATGTTACCAAGGTTTTCTGGGAAGCTTTCTGTTCTTGGCTTGGTGAATTTCAAGTTAGTTTTCAAACCTGTACAATAATGGATATAATTCTTGAAGCTTTCAGTGTGGAAGAGGACTTTACTATTCTAAATCACCTAATACTGACAGCTACATTATATATATACAAGTGTAAATTGAATTCTAAAAACCCTTCTATACGAGTTTATAAGACCAAGATCGGGGAGATATACCAGGTAGGAGTGAAGATAGCAACAAACCGGAATAAATCAGCTAAACATTTTCAGAAATGAAATAAGCTTTTGCCACATATCGTTTTGTGGGATGGGTGTCGTCCAAACAGTGTAGAGTAGCATATGAAGTCAATTTTATTGTAAAGCACACAATTTCGCTATATATTATTATTAAGGTACTGTAAGTAATATATGTAACATATTGAAAAGAGTGTAATATGTTGTTAAGTAATGTAACTGTAGAGTATCGTGTAGGTAGTGGAAGTAATTGATAGTAAGTCATCTGCTGTAATCAAGTTTATTGTAAGCTATACTTTGTGGTGTGTTCCCAGTGAACTATTGTAAGCAACGTACTGTAACTGAGTCCTGTAGTGTATTGTAAGTAGAGTAATGTGTAAAATGCCAAAGAAAATGTAAAGAAATTACAAAAAAAAAAAACTTTCTAAATGACTCATCATAAGATGACAACATCATTCCGAATTTTCTCTTCGAAGATCAAAAGAAAGTTTTTATCAAGCTTCCTTTTTGCGGTAAAAATGAAAAACTCAGTAAGACGTTTGTTGCAAAACTCAACGAGTTCACTAATTTTAATTTCATCTTTGTAATCCAGTGGCAAACAAGGCAAATTAAAAGCCTTTTTAACAACAAAGTCAAAAACACTCATAGATCCAAAGTTGTTTACAAAGGAGATTGTTCTTGTGGCGTTGATTACATTGGCGAAACTGTGAGAAATTTAGCAGTACATATTGCAGAGCATTCAAATCCTGCTCACACCTCTGAACCTGCAAAACACTTGCAAGAAAATCCATCACATTCTTTCACTTGGCGTGTTCTCTCCTCAGCAGAAGCATTCCACAAGTGTAGGATCGTCAAGGGGCTAATGATCCAACAATACCGCCCCAGTTTGAACAAACAAGTTATTTCTTATGTCTCCAAACTTTTCCCATCGGGAATCGCATAAGATATATATGTATGTGCAGATGGTCATTACTTTCAACCCTGATGATGGCAATCAACGGAAAACGTTTGGTTCAAACATTTTAATTTTTTCCTAATCTTTTAGCCTTGTAGATAGAATAATATTATACTTTACTAAGCGAACATTATGGACACAGTTTTTGTTGATGGGCAAAAAAATTGTTTGAGCCCAACTTGGACCAAGCTGCAATGCAAGGGTTAAAATGAGATAGAGAATGGCCCAAAACATATGTATGCAGGGAAATTTATAAACTGTATTACTTTTATTATCACTTTGGATAGCATTGAGAAAATAAAAACAGAAAAAAATGACAACTAAACAGTCTGAACAATCACACAAACATGCAGACGGGCTAAAATACATTTAAGCTTGCAAAATGTACCACAATACCTGAAGTAGGGATAATAGCTTGTAATGCATTAACTAAAGGCTTCTTGCATTTTTCTTTGAGACAAGTATGGTTGCATATATGAAATAAGAATGGAGACTTCTAGAGTTGCTAATGGTATAAAATTAATGTAACAGGAAGTGGTAGCTTGGAAATTGTGAATGGTAAACTTTTTTCTGTGTTGCTTTGCCAACAGATTTTCCACCCAACATAACTGAGTTAAAGGAATCAGTCATTGTCAAGGAGAAAGACATGTTGTCACAACATTGTACAGCACGCAGCTTCCCTTTGTCTAATATCACTTGGATTTATAATGGAGCAGAGCTGTTGGTAGGGAATCACTACATAGTGCTGCAAAATATCAATGAGCAATGGCTTACCTCAACAAGCTATCTTATCATAAAGAGTACAAGCTTTCCAAGAGACAATGGAACTTACACCTGTGTGGCAAAAAACGGCAACAGTTCCGATGAAAAAAACATGGAAGTTTCCATTGACAGTATGTGTCATCACAGTTAGCTTTTCATTTTATTATTTCATTTAATTTGTCTTTTTATTCTCATCACATGTCTGCATGATATGGTATTGATACTGTGTGTAGAAATTCTGTCTTGGTCACTCGTGGGGGTGCAAGGGTTAAGGTGCATCTCCAGAAGCAGCGATTTGACTGTTACTCTCTAACTTTTAACATACTGAATCCATTTTGTAAGCACACAAACTGCAAATGAATGGGTTAATTTCCAGATGATGCAACTGTGTGTAAGCCATTTAAAAGGTTTATTTAGGGTGCTGTTATTGTTATATTTCAGCACAGTCAGTTGCTTAATGATAACTTGTTATTTTCTTCCAGCTGTACCCTTTTTGGATAAGTCACATTCACTCTGGACAAATAGAAGAATCTACTGTCAGGTCAGTCGATCCAATCCACTGCCAACTTTCAAGTGGCAGTATCAACGTGACCCATGTTTGAACTTCAATCCAGAATGTAAACCAGACAAGAGCAGATGGAGTGACCTTCCTGCTAGCTTTGCCGTTTCCCCACCTAGTGACGATGCCACTAGAAGGAGTACAGTTGCAATTCCAAAAGACACTGAGTCGGGATTTTTTAGATGTAAGGCAACCAATAGGGAAGGGAGTGCTGAAAATGTGATGAAATTCTTTGTTAGTGGTGAGTTATGAGTTATCCACAACAGATGATTATTATTGCAGAATATGATAAAATGCTACCAAGTTATTTGCATCATACTGAATCCAAACTTCTTTGAAATTCATACTGTGGAATTCTTGAATATATGGAAATCCGCAAAATGATTAGTTTTCTAGAATAAAGCTTGTTTTGGTTGGAAAGTAATGAATTGGGTCTGGTGAAGGAATGTGAAGAGTCTAGAATTTGTTTTACTTTTTTGGATTAAAGGGCCTCAAACATATTTTAAGACTGAAATTGATGTTAGCAAGTCAAATTTAATGCTAAGTTTTGTCTTGACCAACTGTATTGCTGAATTTCAAGAGCCTTCTCACCCAAACTTATTATAAACTCTTGCAGATTATAACATGTACAAGGTAGATATCCCTTAAATGTTTATTTCTATTGATATGTTTGCAGTGAGTGTTAGGCTACAATTTGAGACCTAACTATATCAAAAGAAGTATTGAGTATTGCATAAAAATCTGCTTGAATTCTGTAATAACTATTCTTTGTGAACTACGTGTACTTTCCACAGGTACTAATTCTGCCAGAATCACAATGACAACAAAAGAGTACGATGAAGAAGGGGTGTTGAATATGAGTTGTGTAATGACTTGCAAAGGTAAAATGTCAGGCTGGTACAAAGATGGTAGAGAGCTGTTGGCAGCTACTGATCCAAGAATTAATATAACATCTGGGACTGAGAGTGGCTTGACATGGACAAATCTAGTGGTGAAAAAACTCACTGCCAATGATTCTGGAGTGTACATTTGTGCAGCTACTGACTGCCAAAGTAGACCTTTGAATGTGTCAGAGGATATCAAAGTCAACAGTAAGTAAACAGTTTGTTTTTGAGGGCCATAGAACCAAACCTTTACTGTTTACTGTGTTTCCATGATTATGCCATTGTGTTGTGATGATATTATCATGGGAACTTTTCATGTCTTATTTGTAGTAAAGGAAATGATATGTTATTTTGAAATAACTTCCCCAACTGATAAGTTTCTCTTCAACCTTTTTGATGGATATTGTGTTGATATTTAATATGAGAATTGATATGTGTAAACTAATTCTTCAGAGGGGAAGGGTTAAAACAGAAGATGTGCAGGTGTGACAATTTTTGCTACCTTAAACCATTTCACTCCCAAGATCTCCTTAGTAATTCTCCTTACTCTCTGCCATACAATTCTTGTGATGTTAGTTTGGAGAATTTGGTATTGGATCCACTGAATGCCCCTGATTTTCTTTATTTTCAGCACTTGTCTGCATGATATTGTATTGATACTGGAAGGAGTAATTCTGTCTTGTCCACTTATGGGAGTTGATCTGTTAACAGCAAATTGCTTCACAAGTGGAATTTTCCTTTAAAAACAGTACAGTAAATTAATAGTTTTGCCCAGCCATGTTGCTGATTTGTTTATTCTGATTGCTTATTGCATTTGTGTTATTCTCTTTTCAGAGGTATTTCCACCAACTATACTCAACTTTAAAAATCAGACAGCCTACAATCAAATCAGTACTGAATTATTCTGTAACATTTCTGCTCATCCTATGCCAAGTCAGGTACATTGGTTTAAAGCCGGTCTGCCCCTTGAAGATCAAATTGAATACTTGAACAGACTATTATCCTCAGGCTGTGAAACTCATTCTCCTGGTTTTTATCGCATAAATGGTGTTGTTGGAAAACTGATAATTTGTAAGCCTGCAGACTTACTTCATACGGGATTCTACACTTGCAATGTGGCCAATAGGAAAGGGGAAATTAATGCCACTGCCTTTCTTAATGTATTGGGTAAGTGAACAAAGGGTCCTATAAGCCATGGGGCCAGATAATGTTGTTATTTCATGACTCACTTGACAAAGGAAAAGTTAGACAATCAGTAACAAATTGATTTGGTGGTTAGTGTGGAATTTCATTAATTACTTAGAAGTGAAGCTGTGATTTTATACTTGGCAAGTCATAATTGAAAGTTCAACTGTGAACTGGTCAGTTGAATGTTGAAAAGTATTCAGAGAGGAAGAGGTAGGGACTAGGTGGAGAAGTGAGGTGAAAGGAGGGAAGGGAACTGAAAGGAGGGAAGGAGAGGGGAGGGGAGAGAAGGAGATGGAAGGAGCTGGGAGGAGAGGGAGGGGGCTGGGAGGTGAGGGAAGGGAGGAGAGGGAAGGGAAGGAGCTGGGAAGAGAAAGGAAAGGAAAGGGAGGAGAGGGAAGAGAAGAGACTGGGAGGAGAGGGAAGGGACGTTTAAGGAAGGAAAGGACTGCAAGAGAACAATATGCGTCTAAAGTCCTTTACTTCTCTACAGTTAATGCCATTAACGCGTGAAACATTTCCAATTTCAGAGAATCCTGTAGTTTTACGTCCCGCCAATGTAACTCATTTGGTTAAACTAGGAGAGCCATGGAACAGCACATGCCAAGTCACTGGTAACCCTGTGCCAAAAATTGAATGGAAAAGAATGGATGGAAATGGAAAAGGAAATGTGGCGGTGAATCAAAAATGGGAGAACAACAAGGAGGTGGTTTTATTGTTGGAGTCTGTCAGTGAACAGGATATCGGAACGTACTTCTGTATAGCAGTTAATTCAAAAGGAATTGCAGTTGCATTCATGGAACTGGGTAGGTTGACGTGGTTAGCCGAGATCCATGTTGTTTATTATTAATTGGAAATCACAGAAAACTTACATGAGCTTAGCCTTAAAACAAGTTTAGGCATGAGTAGTGATTTATGAAAATGTTTAAATCGTTTTAACTGTATACCATAAAAATTACATTATAAATTGTCACTACCTAGTCGTCAACTCTGTGTTAGTCGCCAGCACGCCCAAATAGTTGCACCATAGAGTATTGTTACGGTCCCATAGAATGACAATTTTCCATTGACAAACATGTGTATACGCCGCAGCTTTATTTCCTTTCCTCTTGGCAGAAGCAAAAGTTCCCCTATCGCAACCTACTCTGGAAGGATCAAGAGAAAAGTTGACCATCGCCCTCATTGTTGTTGGAGTCCTTGTGATTGTCCTTGTAACTGTCATCCTAATCTGTTGTGGATTTTTTCGCCACCAGCGTCGGCAGATTAAAGAATATCGAAGTCAGTTTTTCCCGGTGATTTTCGAACACTCTATGGTACGGTACTGTTTGTTTATTCAATTGTTTGTTTGTTATTTTTTATATTTATATTCCTAGATCGTGAAATTCTTGAAAATACACGTTGCACAGGGTCGCGAACACCTGAAATGTTTTGTTTTTTTTTTTTTAGACAGGTGTGCTATTTTAATGTTCGTCGTAGGAATTGGTAAATTCTTACTGGTTAGTCTCGAGAAACAGGTGCAACGGATTGAGATCATAGGGCGAACTGCCCTTGGTTAGAGGATGAGGGTAGGGGCAAAGTATAAACACAAACTGACACACTAGGAGCCATGAAATATTCTATGGAAAGACGCACGTCCTAAGCGTGGAAAATATACAATTGGGTTTACCGGAACCGAGCACAAGGGAATGATCGGCTGTTGCAGTGCGAGAAAGTGTGAAACTGGCGCAGATAAATTGATGGCGACCACAGGGATAACTTGCTATTATTGCGTAAATTCCTTGGGAAGTATTCAATCCTTGTTCACACGTTTATGATGTGTTTTCAGGTTGATCCCGCTCGTACTCTTCAGGATCAGTGTGGAAATCTTTCATACGATCCAAGTTGGGAGTTCCCTGAGGAAAGGCTCACTCTCGGGGAGGTGCTTGGATCAGGGGCCTTCGGGGAGGTCATCAAAGCAGAGGCCTTTGGAATTGCGGACTTTCATCCTCGATGCGAAAGTGCCGAGAAAGTAAAACGCCGGTCCAAAATGCTGCGCCGCATTAGTAGCAGTAGATTGTATCAGGATTCTAGCGGATCTCCCTACGTGAAGACAACTGTTGCTGTTAAGACACTGAAGAGTAAATGTTATTGCTCTAATTCAAATAAGGTAATTTGGTAATATCAACTAAGTTGACATTAGCCCTTCGTCAGAGCGCTGACAAAGGGCTAACGCTCGAAACGTCAGCTTTTTAACTCTTTACGGTGGCCAATTTACAATTTCAACTTAGTTGATATTACCAAATGACCTTGTTACCCCCACCGACGCAGAATCACAGTTTCTTTAGAAACTTACCCCCCCTTTACGCGATATAAATGGACTGGAATCACTTAACTACTTACCTCCTTTACTAATTCAAATAAGCTTCTTGTATAGCTTTGTCACGTGACATTGTCGATCACCGCATATTGGTCGTGGAACGGTAGATACTGAGATGGATAAAAGTGATAAAGATATCTGTCCAACTTCAAAGCAGGTGACATCTAAGTGTGAGATCTTAGGACGGTTGGAAAATGGAAACAGATTTGTATGTTGAGGGGTTCATTTTGTTATCTATCAGCTTAAATCCCTTTTAGAGCAAAATGCCGACCAATAAATATTCTCCAAGACACCTTTAAAAATATTAGATAGGGACGTTTGGGGCCAATTTTGACTTGGTGCCTCTGTCTGTATTTCAGAGAACGCCAAACCAGAGGACTTCGATGACCTTGCCTCTGAGCTGAAGATTCTTATTCATGTCGGAGAACACAAGAATATTGTTAACTTACTGGGAGCTTGTACAAAGGGTGATCGTTTGTTCATTATCATGGAATATGCACCGAACGGAAACTTGTTAATGTTCCTGCGGAAGAAGCGAGAAATTTACGAGCCAACCTGGATAACTACAACGAATAACCCTGAAAATGAACTTACCATCAGGAATTTGGTAGTTTTTGCCTATCAGATAGCACGTGGAATGGAATTTTTAGCTTCAAAACAGGTATGGATTCATTTGTGGTTTTGAGTCGATTTTTTCCTTTGATTTTACCGTCAAGTGCGTTTGTTTTGCGCTACGCATTGTTTATCAAAACGTTAACTGTCCGCCTTCCCAGTGGAAAAGTTATGTTAGGACCAAGTCAAGTGGAATGGAGAACGACTTGGAGGAAGGGGAAAAATTCGATAGGACTGGCAATGAGTCTAATATTCTTTTGAAAAGTGAATGCTTAGTTGGCTGACGCGCTTGTTGAAGACTCTCAGTACAGGGTACTGTAAGCCATTGGCGGACAAGTGAAGAGAAAAATAAACGAGAAATTAAAAAACAAATAAGGCAAGAGATTACTTCTGAGGAAGTGGAGTATTAAAGGAGACAGAGACGAAAGAATTCCATTTGTCATCTGGAATTGTCGTCTTCTTTTCCTCTGTTCTTTGGTTAGTAAAAATTGTAGTGTACTAAGTTTCTCGAAGAACCAAGAAGTTGTGGAAGTTTACCTTTCCTTACAGCAAGTGACCTGCTGACATTTTTTTTGGTTTTATTGTGGGTGTATTTCCAGTGCATTCACAGAGACTTAGCAGCAAGGAATGTTCTTGTTGGAGAAGATTACGTTATGAAAGTCGCTGACTTTGGTTTAGCTCGAAACATTTCCAAAAGGGATATGTACGTGAAGCAGACTCAAGGAGTCCTTCCCATCAAGTGGATGGCGATGGAATCATTGTTCGACAGAGTTTACACTGAAAAAAGTGATGTGTAAGTACTCGTAGATTTCCGTTTATCTTGAGACTGTTCTGATTGTTCAGCTGAGATGTTGCAAAAATAAAAAAAAACTATTAACAATTATTGGAATGGGAAGTAAGTTTAGCAAAGTGGTAAGGTAGTTCATCTTCCACCAATTTGTTTCGGTAAGTCTTCGTTTTAGCAAGTTGAGTGCTCTCTGCAAGGATTCGTCTCTTGTTTTTTTTACGGTGTTCTGCAGCTGCCGCCCATAAAAGGCGTCGCTCGACCTGTAAACTGCATTTCTCTTTAACGGAGACATTCTTTCCTCAGTCGTTTTTAAAATATTATAAAAGCTCATTTTCGTTCCGGTGAAAATGTAACACCTCTTCGTACACAATCACACAAGCGCTAATTCTTTGATCCTCGCAGATGGTCGTTTGGTATTTGCCTATGGGAGATCTTCACGCTAGGAGGCACACCTTACCCCACTCGCTCTGCGGAAGAAGTTATGGACATGCTAAGTGACGGTGAGCGGATGGAGCAACCGCCTAACTGTCCTCTGGATATGTACTTTATCATGAGGGATTGTTGGAAACAAGATCCTGATCAACGACCTCCATTCTCTCAGCTCAGTGAACGAATTGGAAGGATATTAGAGTTACACACTTCAAAGGTGAAGCCGTTAGTTCACAGAGACTTGTCGGAGAGTTTTTGATAAGTTGGGTACAACAAACGAATACTCAATTAATCACCTTGATTTCCAACATACAAAACATTAACCTACCATGAGCAACATGAACCGGA